AGATGCAGCTCACGGAGAAGCCCATCGACGCCTGCATCATCTCGCCGGGCTTCGTGAAGCCGACCATGCTCGTGGAGAACGGGCTCAAATTGAACGACCAGATGTGGGCCGCGTGCAAGGCCCGCCTCGGCACGGACCGGGCGAAGGACGAGTACGGGCCGCTGCTCGACACGTTCATCAAGTACTCCCTCGCGGAGAAGGGCACCCACGTGTCCGAGGTCGCGAAGCGCATCCGCCTCGCGCTCCAGGCGGGCCGGCCGCTCCACGGCTACAAGGTCGGGCCGGACTCGCGCGCGACGCCCGTCGCGGGGCTGCTGCCCGTGCCGCTCCAGGACTTCGTCATGAAGGCCCAGGTCTACGGCCGCCAGGGAAAGCTCTAGAGGACCCGCGCGCGTAAGGGTACATGCGCGTCCATGGACCGAGAAGATGGACCAAGCCGCGACAGGGCCGGCACCCGCGTCGGGGGGTCGCCTTCCGCGACGCCCCAATCCCGGCGACTCGGCCGGCGGACTCGTAGGGTAGTCCGTGGGGGCTGCTGGGGTCATGCGCCGAGGTGGCCGGCTCGGAATCGAGGCCATGGCGTCGCCGCGCGCGCGCGAATGCGAGCTTCCCATTGGTCGATTCGAACTGAGCTGATGTTGCACTCGACTCGGCGCCGGCGCTCGTCCTCCGAGAGGCAGCCCCTCGCGCCGAGCTGGTCGTGGAGCGCGACGCCTGGGGCCTAGGTGGCGGCGGTGGACACCTCGTACCCATGGATGACTCCGGAGGTGCTCTGCTTGCGGGAATTGGCTCTGTCGTCGAACGCTTGGGCGTCGGAGCGACGATTCCCAGTGGCGGCACAGCTTCCAGTGCCTCTGCGGCAGCCCCAGGGTGGCACCACGCGCAGCCGAGCGGCAAGTACCACGTTCTAGTATGTCGGCGAGCACAGCGCCGCGCCATGGACCGCGCCGTGACCGGAGCCATTCGCGCAGCGGCCTCGAACGACTGGCATGGCGCACAGCGTCATCGAGTGTACCTGGTTGGCCAAGGGGCTGCTCACGTTAGTATTGGGGCCTCCAGGCAAGTCGCACGGACCCATGGACCAGATCGGACGCAAGAATGCGACCGCCAAGGTCGAGATGCGCATCACAGACCGATTCGAG